CCCTGCACCCCAACCCCCTTTTTTCTGGCTGCATCCAGAGCATGCACTCCCAGCCCAGAGCCTGTACCCCACCACAACCCCCTGCCCCAGGCTGGAGCCCCCTCCCAGAACCCCTCAGCCCCACCCTCCCAGCATGGCCCCCTTTTGCATCCTCCACCTCTCATTTTCTGTCCCCATCCTGGAGCCTGCCCCCCAAGCCAGAACCTCCCACTGTCTCGCACCTCAACATCCAGCCCCAGCCCAGTGAAAATGAGCGTGAGAGACGAGGGGGGAGCGAGCAACAGGTGGGGGAGGGAGGAGTGAGTGGGGGCAGGACTCAGAGACGAGGCAGAAGCTTGAGGCAGGGGGTGGAGCAGGCACAGGGTAAAGGATGCTCAGTTTTCTGCAATTAGAAAGTTGCCAGCCCTACCTGGGAATAATCTGCATATTGCTGGAGAGGGTGTGGGGCCAGAGGGGGGGTCTGGGTGAAGGAGGGGGTTATGATCTGGGGCAGGCAAATGGGGTGCAGGCTCATGGAGGTGCAGGAGAGGATTCTGGCCTGGGAGAGGGGCATGGGACAGGGATGTAAAATCTCATTTAATCTGTTCCCTGGTTACACGTTCTGTTTAACCGGTTAACCCCGTAAACAGGGGCAGGCAGGGGGATTGTGAGAGATCGTGCTGGGGCGGGGGCAGTAGGCGAAGCCTCCCCTCTCCCAGGCACCCAGAGCAGAGAGCCGCAGGGAGCAGCCAGCTGCTTAAAGCGGCGCGGGACTGCTTTGTGCCTGAGGGTTCCCGGGGGGGGGGAGCGGTGGCCCGGGGGCCACTCCTGGTCTAAGGGACCATCGATCACAAAGGCGACCTTGCCTGGGGGGTAAGATAGCCCGGCCGGCCCAAGAAGACAGTCTCTGACTCCATGGCAAGAGGGTTCTGGTGCTTGAGGAGTTCACAACCCATCGGGGGACCGACAGACTTGCAGGGCCCCTGGGCCAGGGGTGTGTGCGTGGGGGGGGGCTCCTCACTCCCAGAAGGGGTGGAAAGGGCAGGACTGGGGCAGCCAGCTGTCAGTGCTTCCCAGCACGTGCCACGCTGTCCCCCCCACCTCCCAGCCAGCTCTGATAGCTGCCTAGAGCCTTTGAATCTCCGGGGCCCGGGGCAACTATCCCCTTTGCCCCTCTCCCCCACCAACAGGCCTGCAAGGGACACTTGGTGGGTGAAATCTGGTTCTCTCTTGGGGCAAGCCCCAGGCCTAGCCAAGTCCCTGGCCGCAAGGCAGGATTCAGCTGCCTCCCTCTGCAGGAGGCCGGGACGGAGGCCGGTGCCCGGCGGTGGGGCAGAACTCAACTCCCTGCCCCGGCGAGCCCTGCAGATGCAGGAGGTGAAGGGGCAGAGCGCCCCCTCCCTGCCCAGCGTTCGGCGGCCACAGGGGGGCAGGTGCAGGAAGCAGCCGGGCCAATCGCCCGGGGGCACCTGCTTTTCCAGGGCCCTGGCCCAGGGAGGGCTGGGGCCTCCGGCAGGTGTCTGAGGGCTGCTATCCTGGGGTAGGTGAAAAAGGAAACACCTGCAGCAGCCTCTCCCTCTGCAGAGCAGGCCCCACCCTTCTGGCTTCCTCTCTGTCTGGAGCAGGCAGCCTCTCGCCCGCAGGGACAGCAGCAGCCGCCGCCACTGGAGGCTCTCGCTGGGGGCACGTCCCGTCTGGCTTCCCAATGCAGATGCCCACAGCCCCCATCCCTGAGGCGGTCCAGCGGCTCCTTGAAGGTAACCCCCGGCGCCCTGTCTCTGCTCCCGGGGGGGTGGGCTGAGGCTGCGTTTTAAGCGGCTCCAGGAGGAGAAGGTCTGCGTGCCCCACAACCCGGAGCAGGGGCTGTTCCTTCTGGGGGGGATCCAGGCCCCTTCGCTGTGTAGGCCTCTCCCCCTTCCGGCACTGGGTGCTGGGCTTGGTGCTTGTGGGGTTATTTTGGCACTCCTTGGAATGATTCTGTGCCAGGAAGGGGGCCTAGGGGCTTGCACCCGGATGCGAGTTCCGTTCCTACCCCTGCCACCGAGCATCCGGGTGACCTTGGGCGAGTCACGTCACTGACCGGTGCCTCAGTTTCCCCTTTCTAACACGAGGCTCGTGACCCTGACCACCTCTGAAAAGTCATTTGAGCTCTACTGGGCCGCAAAATGCCACCTGGAAGGTGGGTGTCACTCCATGTCTAGCTGTGTAAGGAGGGGCGTTGGCGGGGCATGGCTGTTCTGATGTGGGGGGGGCTTCAAAGCATCCCGCAGACCAAGCGAGGCTGCGACTTTGGCCGGTCACGATGTGACGGCATCTCCTGCTTTGCAGCGCGAGGGTGCACCAAGCACGTTCGGCCTGCTGGCCGCCATTCCCACGTCAGTAACAATTCGAAGGGACGCGGCCCCCTTCCAGAAGACTAGACATGGCACTAGCTGTCCCTTCTGCCGCTGGCAAGGCAGGTTGTGCTCAACCCCCCACTGACAGGCCTACCTGGGGATCCAGCGAGCAGCCCTGACCGTCTCCGGCGCATGACTGCGGCCGCTTGGCGCGCGTGGATGTTTCTAAACCCGTTTCCCGTCATTTCTTCACCAAACTCCTCGTCTCAAAAGCAGCGAGGAGGTTGAGCAGTGACAATACCGGCCCGTTCTGTCTGGTGATCTCAAAGCACCCTATGAACATGAGCCGGCTCGTTCCTCGCAGACCCTTACAAATTTTATTGATCCTGTCTTATTGATACTGTACTCTTGGGCGCTGGGAAAATTTCCCGCATCTGGGGGTGACTTGCTCAGCACCAGGGATGCATGTATGTTGCTTTCCAGCTCAGCTATGCCTAGAACCTCTTATTCCCAGCACTCTGATGCCTGAGCACTTAACTTGACCTTGGAGGATTTTTTGCGTGTGTGGAGGAGTTGTTTCCTATCTTACACCCGCTCCTCAGTTCCCCTGTGTATGGTTGAACAATCCCTTTTGGCTGTTTCTCTCCCCTGTGGTGCTGTCACAGACCCACACACAGGGAAAGTTACTGTATGTAAATTTGACACTGTCCCTGGGTTCTTCTGCCACTCTGATGACAGTGCATTTCCAGCAAAACGGGAGGTGCTCTGTACCCCTCCATTCCAGCAGTAACTAGGGGTGTTTCCCTTTCTCCCCTTTTGGGGTGTGCGAAGCTTTCAGCACTGAGACCTAGACAGACAGAGAGGGGGAGAGCTGGCTCATCAAAGCTGACTTTCAAATGCTTTGTGGTCCCCGTCCCCCCTGCTACAGATGTGCATTTCCTGTTCTTTATTTTTAATCATGGGGCTGCAGTGAAGTTCAACCCCCCACTTTGCATTTTTGATGTGCAGCATTTTCCTGTTCAGCCCTGACACTTTTGTAAACAACTCATTTCTGCACCTGCCGCCTCCCGTGCACGCAGATTATTTTCTTGTTAGCTGACTGTTTTTAATTGAAGTCTTCAGATCTCCTTCTAAAGCGGAGCCTTTGTTTGCTGACAAGTAGAGCAGGCCGTGAATGGAGATTAATTGCGTGTCACATACCTCGGTATCAAACTTGCCTCGTCTTACCAAGCTGTGCGGGGGGCCTGGGCGCGAGGAGGGGTTCCAGCCACGCTGCTTCGGTGCTGCATCAGGAGAGCTGATTGAAAACGAAGATGGGGAATAAGACACCAAGAATGTATTGTCAGGGTCGTCCACTTCCTGACAGTGAAACTGGGTCCTTTATGCTCCTGCATAGCTCAGGGACAGGATTGCCAGATAGTTTCACAAAAAATACCAAACATGGTGGGATGCAAATTGGGTGAGCAAAAAAAAAAAAAAAAAACAGGGACCAAAGTCTGACACAAACAGAAAATACCGAAAATTTTACACGTCTGGTATTTTCTGGTTTTTTTACTGGACAGAAGATGCAATTACCAGACTGTCCGGGCCAATACCGGGCACCTTGCAACCCTATTCAGAGATGTCTCAGTGCTATAGAGCAGTGTTTCTCAATCTTTTGTTATAAAGTATCCCTTTTTCAAAAAAAAAGTACCCCTGATACCTACAGTTTTCAGACATAATTTTTTTTTCTACCATTGAAACACATTTATTTAAAGAACTTAATCGTAGCCGGGCAGGCGATAAAATTTCGGGGTGTAAAAAGTACAAAAATAATAACACGCTGTCAAACTTAAAACAAAAATTCAGTTTTCTCCAAATTTCAGTTGCGCTCCCAACTTCTCTCAAGTACCCCTGAAGGTACTCTTACCACTGGTTGGAAAACACTGCTCTAGATAACACAATAAGCATAGCTAGTGAATAGTTTCAGAGGGAGAGCCGTGTTAGCCTGTAACGGGAAAAACTTAAAAAACAACAAATAGTCTTGCAGCACCTTAGAGACTAACAAACACCGTGTATGGGAGCATGAGTTTGCATGGGCACAACCCACTTCTTCGGATGAATGGAGTATAAGGGGTCGAGTTTTCAAATAAATAGGCACAGAAAGGGGATAGGGAGGAAGCGGAGGAAAAAGAAGAAGAAAAATGGGGAAAGACATTGTCAATTAGTGCTAAATGAAGCTGATAAAGCGGGTACCAAGCATCCTTCAGTTCCCTTTGCTTGGTTTTTTATGTCATTAGGATGTGGAATGTAGCGGGCCATCCAGCCAGTGTCTTTGTTCAGACTTCCATTGCGGGAATCAAACTTGTAAATGAAAGGAAGTTCTGTAGCTTCCCTTATCGAGCTGGCTTTTGTAATTGGTTTTGCAATAATACGGTGACTTTGAGATCCATTAACGAGTGCCCAGGCAGGCTAATGAATGGCTTGTTAGTGACAGTGGCCCGCAGAGCCTCCATCTGCAGACCCCTCACACACTGGGACCCCGGAGCCCCACACTTCCTCCCCCTCAGCGCCTCAGGAGCATGTACAGTGGCTGGTTCATGCTCCTCTCTCCCCAGAGTTGGAATGCCGCAAACAGCTGATTTGTGATGCTCCAGCGCTGGAAGGGCGGGGGAGGAGCAGGTAAGTGCGGGACTCCGGTACCCCACTGTACAAGAGGCGTAGGGGGGGGGGCAAGGGGCAGACAGGGGTTGTGGGGCCGCAGGTGGAACCCCACAGGGCTGCTGCTCCCCACTGAGGTGCAGGAGGGCCACTCATGCGGCCCACGCTCCACTCCCGGGTGCCCATCTTCTGTATTGTTGTGAGAGCGAACAGGCTTTCAACACCTGGAGGCTCACAGCTTCTTGTTGCCTTTGCTTTCCTCTCTGGAGGTGAGCCCCGATCCTGCAGACGCTAAGGCATGGACTCCCCTTTTCACCTGGGACCAGGGGGGCCTGACACGTCTGGTGATGATAATGCATCACAGTCCAGTTCAACACCAGCATCGGTGCCTGCAGGCTTGAGGCCAGATTTTTTTTTTTAACTGAAGGACTGTTCCCCACATGGCTCGGCCCAAAGTCTGAATTCCCCCCACAAATCCTTTATCTGGATGTTTAAATGTCGCTTTCCCCCTGTGGGTTTTTGTCTCTGCTTTCAAACCAAGGCTGCTGCGGAATCTCTTAAAAAAAATCCTGCTTAACCCACGGCTCAATCCACAGTGCTGTTTGAGTGGCAGACGTACAGGGGATGGGGCAGTCAGAGGGTGCATCTCCCAAGCACCCCTGTTCTTGGGAGTGGGGGTATGTGGGGGGATGGGTGTGTCTGTGTCCTGAAGCCTGTTTCTAACAGAGTGCGGGGCCCAGGCAGAGTGGAGCAGCTGGTGCAACCTGCTTGCGTCACGGCACCTGCAAAGGACAACAAAGCTGGTAGGGTCCAATGTCAGGCCAAGCAGCTTTGATGCTGTTGTCCCTTTTGCAAATACTCTTTAGCCCTGCACCCTCCCTGAAGCTGTGGACAGCGCAGAGGAGTTCAGAGATAAAGTTTGAAACTCCGGGGCTACGTCTACACAACAAGGTTTTTGCGCCAAAACCGGCGGAGTGTCCACACCTCAAGCACGCTTTTGTGCATGAAAATAATTATCCCACGAGGAATAATTTCTTTTTGAGCTACAGCCCTTGCGCAAAAAGGCAAGTGTGGACGCTCTGCAGGGGTTTCTTGCGCAAGAAACCCCTCTGGGAAAAAGCACAGGTGCTCTGATGACCTTTCTGTGAATGGCCACCAGAACTTTCTTGCACAAGAGTGTCCATACAGTGGACGCTGTCTTGCACAAAAGCACATGGCTTTTGCGATGCACTCTGAGGTCGGGACACGCTTTTGTGCAAGAAGTTTAAAACAGGTTTAAAACTAATAAAAGAAAGTTCTTCTTCACACAGTGCACAGTCAACCTGTGGAACTCCTTGCCAGAGGAGGCTGTGAAGGCTAGGACTATAACAGTTTAAAAAAGAGCTAGATAAATTCATGGAGGTTAGGTCCATAAAAGGCTATTAGCCAGGGGTTAGGAATGGTGCCCCAGTCTCTGTTTGTCAGAGGCTGGAGATGGATGGCAGGAGACAAATCACTTGATTATTGTCTTTGGTCATTGCTCCTCTGGGGCACCTGGCACTGGTCACTGTGGGCAAACAGGATACTGGGCTAGATGGACCTTTGCTCTTCCCCAGTATGGCTGTTCTTATGTTTACATTTTTGTGCAAAAACTCTTGCTCAAAAGGCTTCTTCCGTAAAAAACATGCAGTGTCGATGAAGCCTGGATTAGAGCTGCACATTCAAGGCTGAGGTTTCTGGCTCCACCCAGACGGTCGTGTGTGTGCGTGCATGTGTGTGCGTGTGTGTGTGCGTGTGCGTGT